CCATTGGGAAAGTCCTTTAGTGTATGGGCTTGAAGCACTGCTCCTATGCCGTGTCAGATGCATCTACATTTAGAGAGCTGATCACTAGGCGAGTGATAAGAAAGTGTGGCTGCATTTGCCAAATCGTGTTGCATTGCACGAATGCTGCGATGCAGATTCAGTACAAGGACAGCTCGTTGATCGTTTTTTTTTTTTTTTTTTTTTCTATTCTTCAGAAACTCATGTAGGCAGGCTTGTGTTTTTGCGGCATTTGACAGAAAGCGTCGGTAGAAATTTAACATTGCTAGAAAACGCTTCAGTCAGATGGTTTGGGGCTGAGGTAGGTCGTTAATTGCTTTGACTCTTCCGGTAAAGGTTTGACTCCATTCTGGGGATAAGACATCCAAAGAAAAAAAACTGAGGTTGACCAAGTACACATTTGGATGGATTTAGTTTAATCCATGATCTTTAAGGCGAGTGAAATCTGACGCAGATGTTGAAAATGTTCTTCCGCATCTGTAGATGCACCAGGATATCATCAAAATATGGATGCAGAAATCGAGGCCAGACAGTACTTGGTGTATGAAACGCTAAAATGTTGGCCAGCATTGCGAAGCCAAATGGCATATATAAGTACTCAAGAGACCAAAGGTGTAGTCACTGCGGTCTTGGGTACATCTTCAGCATGCACTGGGATCTGATGATATGCTCTGGCAAGATCGAGGGTAGAAAATATGTTTTGTTCCATGAAAAATATGGGTACAGTCTTGGATTGTGGGACTGGATATCTGTCAGGGACTGTGACGGCACTAAGTCGACGATAATCTCCACAAGGCCGCCAGTCACCATTAGACTTTTAACCATGTGAAGTGGACTGGCCTGGCTTTTAGATGGGCGATGATCCCTGTGCTAGCATGAATCAAATTCTTGCGAGCAGCTTTTAGCATCTCGAGAAAGACGATGGGCTTGGAAAATACAGGTGGGCCATGTGTTTCAATGTGAGATACACTTCTGGTGATGAGTATGCTGCCCTGATTTGGATGGGTTTAAAAAATGTCAGGGAAATTCTGATAATAAACCGATGAAACCGTGGTGCTGCCCGAACAACACATGTTTGTAGGTATGTTCGATATGTGAAAGCTTGTCCCTGTGATGTCACTGATTTGTGCATCAATTAAGCAATTATTCTTGACATCACTAGAAGGTGGAAATGTGTCAGAAGTCGACACCAATAATTGCTTGAGTTACATCCGCAATAACAAAGGCCAGTTGAAAGTCCGGCGCAAGTTTAAATCAAGTTTCAATATTTGGTGCCGTAGGTTGCAATTTGGGTACCATTGGCTGCATACAGTACAAGTTTATTAAGTTGGTGAGCATTTGTTTTAGTTCTCGGAAGCACTGATATGTCAGCTCCAGTATCTACTAGAAAACATAACTGAGTTGAACGATCAGGCAGTACTATTCTGTCGATGTGGCGGACATTCTGTTGGCCAGCAGAAGACCGCCCATTTAGTTTCCCGCTTGTTCAAAATGCATGGAGGGGCACACCTGCGAGCTTGAGCGCCAAAATTCATATGATAAAAACATATGCCACTTGTGGGTTCTTTGTACTGCGTTCGAGTATTGTGACAAGATCGACTCCTGCTTCGGCCACGAAATTTATTACGTGGGCCCTGATTTGATCGATTGTATCTCCGTGAAGCATGAAGACTTATAGAGAGTTCAGATACTTTTTTGGTCAATTCAGCCACTTGTTGTTCGAGGGATGAACTGGAAGGTGCAGCATTAGCAGCACTGACATAAGCTGGAGTAACAAGTTGCTGCTAAATGGGTTAGATCTTCATTGGAAGCAGCAAGAATTATTTGTATGTTATTAGGGAGACGCGAAAGCCATAGTGACTTCAACAAGTCGTCACTAAAATGGCTTCCTGCCAGATCACGCATTCGTGACAGCAAGTATGAAGGTCGCTGATCTCCAAGTTCAAGTCCTTGTAATAAGGTATGATTATGTAAGTATTTTTGAAGATTCACTTTCTGAATAGATTTCAATGAGCTGCTGTTTCAGTTTGGAGTATTTATCGCAATCAGGTGGTTTGAGAATTAAGTCATGCACTGAATTCAGAATATCAGACTCAACTGCTGCAACTACATGGTTGAATTTTGTAGAATTCTCACTAATGCGAGCGATAGAAAATTGTGCTTCGATCTGAGCGAACCACAATGAAGGATTATTTTTCCAGAAAGGCGGTGGCTTCACCGCAACGCGTGTGATTTGTGGCTCTGGTGGAATATCGTCGTGCATACTGATAGATAATTTTCCCTTTAATTAATAAACACTTAACAGCACAAATACTGTAGCAAGAGGATACACTATTGATATTTTGCCATGATAACAATAAATATTTTAACCATGCAGAAAAAATTTATGTAACGATACACACACAAATAAGACAGGGTCAGCAATACCACACACAAATAATATTTTACTGAAATGCATTTGAAAAGAAACCCCTATTTGAGAAAAAAAATGATGCTTTCATTTTGTATTGCGCACACACAAAATCACCACTTCACACTGCTAAGGCACTTTCGAAGGAAAAAGGAAATCACTCCCGTAGCACATGGGAAAAAAATTCACCACTTTCGAACGTTGAGGGAAGAATTTTGCCGTAGCACGTTGCAGAAAAATTACTGATGTAACACATTTATCAAAAATTACTATTGTATCACATTTGTCACAAAAGTTGAATGATCGAAGAATTATTGCACGACTGGCAAAGTCAGCGAAACGGAACAGATCACATTGATGATTTGCTGAAACTCCTTGCGATGATATGCACGACTTTGAAAAAAACACAATATATATCAATACTTCTAGAAATAATTGAAGGGGTACGTTGTAGCATACATTTAATGTCCATATTCGTTGTTATTTTTAGTCAGTTCTTCAGAATGCCTTGGATACATGTGGCTTAGGGTCGTTGAAAATCCATTGTCAGTAGCGTGCTCAGTCAAAAAGGTCACCACTTTTGGTGGTCGCATGTTTAATGCATGATATAATTAAAGAAAATAAGAGTAGACAATCTCCTATAACAAAAGAATATATTAAGTACTAAATTACAATTTAAATTACATTGCAGAGATCAACGCAGAGCTCGGAACACAGTTCATGCTAGCATCGCGTACACTTGTCTGACAAGAAGTCTGAGTGAGTAATGACGTCGCTTTGCTGCTCCGATTAAGAACTGGATTTTACACGTGGCGCCATCTCATGAATAGAAGTTGAAGTATCTGTCGGAACGCCACAAAAGACATAAAAAACAACGACAAACTATTTGGCGGCATTCTGTTACTCCTTTCAGGTGATTTCAGACAAACACTTCCTGTCATTCCACATTCAATGTACACAATCAATGCTTGCTTAAAATCATCGTCACTGTGACATAATGTTAAAAGTAAATATGTACGTTCAAATGCTTCAAAATCCACCCGCTGAAACATTCTCAAAACAAATGTTAGATATCGGCGATGGAAAAGTTACTATAGATGAAACTGGATGCATAAAATAACCGACCGATTTCTGCACAATCGTTAATTCACAAGATGCTCTCATTGACCAGATATTTTCCGATGTACACACACAATACATTAATCATGAGTGGCTGCCAGAAAGAGCAATTTTAGTAGCAAAAAAATGTGACGTCAACGATTTGAATCTCAAGATACAACAGTTGTTGCCAGGGGACTTGGTCTCATACAAATTTATTGATATAAAAAAACATTATATTTTATATCATACTGACTTCCCTAAGAGAGCTATAGCTCTCTTAGGGAAGTCAGTATGATATAAAATATAATGTATAATGACTATATAAAATATAATGTATAATATATATATATAAATATATAATATATAATGTATAATATTATATATATAAAATATAATGTATAATGATATAAAATATAATGTTTTTTTATATCAATAAATTTGTATGAGACCAAGTCCCCTGGCAACAACTGTTGTATCTTGAGATTCAAATCGTTGACGTCACATTTTTTGCTACTAAAATTGCTCTTTCTGGCAGCCACTCATGATTAATGTATTGTGTGTGTACATCGGAAAATATCTGGTCAATGAGAGCATCTTGTGAATTAACGATTGAGCAGAAATCTGGCAGTTATTTTATGCATCCAGTTTCATCTTAAATCTAATTGAATCCAATACTTCAGCAATCTACAAAAATAATTTTATTTACAAAGCATCCTGGATTTCATCGATGGCTCATTATCTACTACGTCGCAAACAGAACTAACTAACTTTCTTTTCTCAGAAAAAAAGCAGCGCCCCCTAAAGGCGATACAAAAAAAACAATTGATACAGTTTGCGATGCCAACGAAGCTGTGAATTATCCAACAGAGTTTTTGAACTCACTGGATTTGCCAGGTATGCCACAGCACAATTTACAACTGAAGGTTGGAAGCCAGCATTTTAAATGCCAAGTTCCGAGGTGAAAATATATTACTACCACAAATCCCCATTATACCCACAGATGTGCCAATTCAATTTAAACGTCTTCAATTTCCAATTAGATTGGCATTTGCAATGACTACCAATAAGTCTCAAGGCCAAACGATGTCTGTTTGTGGCTTAGATTTGAGCACACCATGTTTTTCACACGGACAATTATACGTATCATGCTCTGGAGTGGGCAAACCATCCATTTTAGTTTGTGTTAGCTAAAGATGGGCTAACAAAAAATATTGTACACTCTATTGCATTAAGGGATTGATATTGTTTTTAGTAATATTGTTATAATTAGTGATATATATAATTTTAATAAATTACAATAAATTAAAAATAAATGTTTGGTGTTTTGTTATTTTTATATTCCGTCATCATTCATAGCGCTACATGGCTCTTTCACTCATATACTACATCCTCACACACTTAAATAAGTTAGTTATATTTTCCTACCAAAATATTCCCTAGAAATAATTTATATGGCAAAAACAAAATTTGCCAGGTCATCTAGTAGTAATATAAAATTTAATATATGTCCTGTGAGATTGCTAGTCTTAAAAGTAAATACCTGTTCTGTTAATGCTTCACATTCCAAACAAATTTTAACACTATCTTTTTCAGCTTCAATTTTGTCTTTCATTTCAATATTCTCATACCTTAATCGGCCCAATATTATCTCATTTTCGTCTACAGTAGTCTGTAAATGTGATATCTAAAAAAAGTTTAACAGAAAAATAATTATAATTATATAATTTCACAAAAAAATTTCTAAGCAAAGGTCAACACACAAACATTTATATAAAAAGAATTTGAAAAAAAAAAAAAAAGTTAGTACTTCAATTACTTTTAATAATTACAAATATGAGCATACTAACTTTTAATAACACACATTTTTGATTGATATGAACTTAGAAATGAATCTCACTCACAGTTTTTTCATTAGATATAATGATTTCTTTTTTAGCATCTAATTCTTTTTCAAGAATTTTCATTTCTGACAGCATTTTCTCATTAGATAGAACAAATTCTTTTTTAGATTCCAATTCTTCTTCAAGAGTCTTTATCTTTGACATCAGTTTCTCATTAACTAGAAGAAGTTCTTCTTTAGATCCTAGCTCTTCTTCGAGAATTTTTATTTTTGACATCATTTTCTCATTAACCAGAATAAGTTCCTTTTTAGATTCTAAATCTTTTTCAAGAATTTTTATTTTTGACAGTATTTTCTCATTAGTTTCTTTTTCAGCTTCTAAATCTTTTTCAAGAATTTTTATTTTTGACTGCATTTTCTCAATAGTTTCTTTTTCAGTTTCTAAATTTTCTTCAAGAACTTTCATTTTTGACAACATTTTCTCATTAGCTTCTTTTTTAGCTTTTAAATCTTCTTCAAGAATTTTCATTTTTGATAACATTTCTTTAAATTCTTTATTGGAATGAATCAATTTTTGAGAATCATGTACCTAAAATTAGAAAAATAATATAAAATGAAACATATTTTTAAATACACACATAGTATCCTCTTGACAAACAAAATAAAAGAACATGAACATTGCTAAAACTGGCATTTTAAAAGTAATCACAAATGGTACAAAAATCAAATCTGTTTTCCTTTTGAGTGCATGTATTTTGTAAAACAGAATGATATTAATGATGCTCTTAAATCTCCTCTTGATTTCACATGAAATAAGACAAAATCCTTTGAATAAATTAGTTAAGAGTGTATTTAAAACATTATACTTGCCATATTTAAGTGCTGGTGTCAAGAATGTATTCAATAGAATTATAATTTTATCAAATTCCCCCACCCACCTTAAAAAAAAAAAAAAAAAAAAAAAAAAAAAAAAAAAAAAAAAAAAACCTTAAATATTACAGAAACAGATGTCTAGTTTTATGTGGATAAGAAATACATCAGTATAAATATAAGACTAGGCAAGAAAAGAAATACACCAGTGTAAAAACAAAACTATGCAAAACAATGCCTAATTTTACATTTGCACTGTTATGTTTTGCTTTCACATATACATTTAGAAATGCAGAACTCTTACTCTTGAAAAAGAGGCACATAATGCAGAACTCTTACTTTTGAAAAAGGGGCACATGTGTTTGTTCCATATAAAACTGGATAGATCTTAATTTCAAATTTATGGTAAAGTAAGGTTGCATTTTAGCCTAATTTCACAGCATCCTAAATGTAAAATCTCTTTGCCAACCTTGAAATATGAAAAAAATTAGAAGGTTCTCAAGAGAAAACCGTGAGTTTCCAGGAAGTTTTCGTACTGTATGGTGACACAATTTCAATTTCATGTTGGCTTAAATTCACTTTATATTCAGATTATTAAATTATTTATAATGTGATTTTAGTGTAAAATATATTTCGTTATATATTACAAATCTTATGTTCTATGGTTAATTTCATTTTATAATATTCTTAAACTTTTATAGAGAGAAAATCCTGAATACAGAAAAAAAGCTTTTATTTATCAAAATATTATTAAATAAATAAGATGAAGATAAAATTAATCGTGGGTAAACTTAGTAATGTGCCATTTTGTTAATGTAAAACTAAAATACAAATATTAACTGTTAAGCATAAGGTGAAACTTCATGAAAAGTTCTATAAATATCTATAGCTGATTAAGACAATTCAAATCAAAATTTAACACAAAAAACTATGCTGAAAATCACTGGAGATGAAGGAATGGAATTTGCCCACTTAGTTCCATTTATTGCTAAGAAACATTTTCCTTGCAATGGGTAAAAATTTAAAAACAGGAAATTTAGCAATCTACTGAAAGACATGATGGAAAATTGGAAGAGTTGGCAGCTATGTAAAATATAGATCAAAAGGAAATAACAAGCGTAGCATAGATTTTAAAATTATATTAAATATTCTTAATAAGACTGGGACAATGATTGGTTAAGGTTGCGGACAAAAGAAATGATAATTCTGATTTGAATGAAGATAAAATATAAATTTAAACTTTTTCACTTAATTTTTATTAATATACTATGCAAAACTGCTGGCCATTTAAACTGCAAAACCCTGAAAAGCAAATACTAATAAACCATATTTATTTTAAAATTTCATTATAATTTAAGGGTGAAGTGATTCTAATTTTGGGTAGTTTTAATGCACAGAGCATACAAAAATCAATATTGCATGTAACTACTATGTGCAAAAATAACTCTTGCTACGTAGCTAGGCACAGAGTGGAATAGATTCTGGATGGATCAGAGTATTGTAGATCATATCACAGGGCTGTAGAGTCAATAGGGAAAATGACCGACTCCGACTCCTGGAATTTTAAAAATTCTGACTCCTTCATATATATATGTATACATATACACGTGAGTTACAGCTTATTTTTTTTAATATAAAAGAAGTAATAGATGCTACAGAAAAAAATGATGGCATAGCAAATTATTTATATTAATTAGTTATTTCTAAAAAAGAATACAGCTTCAGCAAGACATTCTTTGTTGGAGGGCCATACATGCGATTTGTTCTAAAAGTTATAAAAGTTCTAACAGAGGTGTCTTGCAAACGCAATCATATTTTCCTATTTCTTCAAAGGTCGTGTAGAAATCTTGTTTTTATTTTTTCATTTTTATATCTAAAGGCTCTTGGTTCTTTATTTTCATTCGCTTTGCCTTAGCCTTTTCAATATCATCCAAAAACATTTCTCAAAATCTAATCCATCACTGGAAGAGGATGATAGAGACTCAAATGCAATGTCTGCAGTTTGACTGTCCTGATTCGAATTCTCTAATTGTTCTGAGAATAATTTCATTCTTTATGAAAGTTCATGGATGGCTTTTTTTTGCCTTTTTAATTTGTCTGTCATCCAAGAAAATTCAGTGCTTTGGATCTACATATATTGAACCCAGCAAGATCTCACTGTCTAGCAAACTAGTTTCTCTTTTCTTCATTGAAGAAATGATTCCTTCTGCAAATAAACCTCTTCCATTTCAGAAAGAACAAATATCACATTCTTCCATTCTCGCCTCCTGTCAATTCTTCAGATTGCAGCTTTTTTGTGGCTATATACGATGTAGAAAGAAGAGTTTCCAATTCTGCAAGATCATTCCACTGTCTTTCTGTTAGTGAAACATTAGGGTTATCTACATCTTTTAAAAAAAGTTCTTAATTCTAACAAACTCTTTATCATCAAATATGTACTTCCTTATCATGTTGCTTGATCAATAATTGCTCCTTTTCCTGCTCACTTCCTAAGAATGGCATCAATTTTGGGAGTTCTTGCTGCTTACTTAAATTTACCAGTGAGATTTCTAACTAAATAACATCCATCCCTTCTGGACTCAATCAATTCTACAGCTGATGATATTAGTCAAACTTACATCAGCATGAACAGCAGTTTAATCACTAGTGGCAAATATCACATCCCTCCTCCTAACTTATATTTATTTATTAATATGTCAATAAAATAGAAAATAAATATTTATTAATGTATATAGTCCATAAATAAAAATAATAACTCTGCTTGTCATTAATTTTTTCAATTCATTTAAATTTCATTTCAATTCAAACTGTCCAACAAAAACTGGAGTTGAAGTTGACCTGTTTTTAGCGACTCCAGCTCCGACCCCTTTTACCCCAAAATCTGCCCGACTCCGATTCCGAATCCATGATTCTGAGTCCACAGCCCTGCCACTGGTAATCGTTGCTATGTTATTTATCCATGAAGTCAGGAACTAGATATGTTCAATCAGTGAAAAAAAAAATACAGAATAAACCTGCCAAGGCATTAAAAAGAAAAGAAAAAAAAGTGCATATCATGCAGTCACACACTATCATGTTGACAGATGACTTCATAAATGCCTCGAAGATATGACAGATGGGGATTAAAGCTCTACACCTATATGATGAAATGCTGGCTCACTAGTGTACCTGATATGCCCAATAAACATGACTGAGATTTATATTCATACTCCAGATGCTGGGCCACCATAACAATGCATAATGCAAGATTCCACCAAGTTCCCCCATTATCATTACATAAGCCCTCATGATGTTACATATTAGAAGCAGAATTCATATAAAAAGATATTATCAATACAATTCATAATATTGTGATCATCCAGTGCACCACTGCAGTCACAAATGCCTATGTATTGCAAACAGTCTGTGATACTAAAGATGTGGTATCAACTGTGTAAATACTTCTTGCATTGCCATATGCTCTAATTTCTGACCTAGAATACATGATATCACTGGAGAATCTGTAAGGGCTGTTCCTCAAAATATTTGTCCTCTAAGGCATTGTCAGGATTATTATGTTCTACATATTTTTACATCCATCCCTTCCGGACTCAATCAATTCTACAGCTGATGATATTAGTCAAACTTACATCAGCATGAACAGCAGTTTTATAGTTAAATAAACTGCATTACAGTACACTATAATTTACTCGCCATAAATCTGAATGTGTTGATTTTAAGTTTCCTTTTTTTTACACAAAGCATCTTACCCCTTTCCCACAAGCAATAAGCAATGATTCCCATTTAATAAACTCACTTTCAGTTCTCCTCATTAACATTCCTTCTAAGTTATCGATGCTTATGATGTATACATCTACAGCATTGCTAAATTACCTGCATATCTTATTATGATGTCTGCATCATGTCACACATATCTGTTAAAATGCTCCCTTTGTGGTACTGCAATTTTAATGGCCTGAAGAGTATTTTATTTAAACTTTGACAATAACTTCTGATCTTTTTGTTGACATTTTTAACTTTTAACAAATACACATACTCACTTTTAACTAAGAAAAGAACTTCAAATTTAGTAGCCTTGTTTCAGGTTTTGAACTTTTAATACAGTTAAAAATATCTGATAAGCATAATGAAAATTTCTTTCAATATTTTATACATTACTATAATTTGAGCTTTTAGTCTCTAATTTTTTGCAAAGATTTTTGGAGAACAGTTTTCAAAGTATTGCAGTTATAATCTAATGAACTTTTAAAAATATTTCTTCTAAAATTTGAAGAAAAACTAAAGCTATGTTTTGGCCTTTCTGCCCTTAATATGCTAATTTCACACATATGCATCTCAAAATTGAAGGCATTTTTATCAGCTAAAAAGTTGTAAAACATTAGAAAATTAAGCTGTTTAAAACCATTAATGCAAAGAGAAGCCTATATACAAAGATAAAAAAGCAAATGAATAGTAAAAAACAATCACTTCTTAGTCAAAAAGCATAAAGCTGAAGAATGTTAAATTTTCAGTGGAGAGAATTTCTGAAAGCAGGACTAATAACGTACACAGTGATAGAGATATGCATTAGAAAGTAACGAAGATATGCAACAGTAACAGAATTTTGCATCAAAAAATTTAAAATACCATTTATTATAATATTACAATACTATGTCATGATATTTTGACAATGCTAGGCTCAAATTTCACTGAAATTGCAGTTAGTAATATTTTTCCGCA